AAGGAAGAAATTACAATGTTTCCAAGCAAAACTATTCGAAGAATAAAAATCAACGACACGAACAAAAAACACATGATGAGAATCAACGAGAGAAAAAAAATGAACCACAACAACAAAGTCAAATAAAAACAAATACTGGAGATCAATTAGGGTTATCATCAATACATACAGCAAACTCGAAATCAATGGAAAATTTAAATAGCAAAGAAACATCAATAATTCAAACAACAAACAATACATTGCCAAATGTTATGACAAATATTCAAATGTGGGACAATTCTATTGTCAATGACACATCACCGACAACAAACAAAATAATTGAAAAGCGTACGTACTACCCTTCTCATGACAGTCATTTTGTGAAACTCCATCATTATCTTCGAAGAAGAGGGAGTAACAGTTTTATACCCCAAAACCGCTGTTTTTAAGATAAATTTGACCCCTTCCTGGAAGACACAACCTGTTAAAATGGTAGTCATAACCTCTTAAAAAACCGCACACAACCTCTTAACGTGACTAGACGTCTCAGTATTGGGAGTTCCACCTTTTAACACCTTTAGGTGCTATCCTGCCAAGATTTGTTCTTTGTCTCGTAATGGACTTGATCAATTAAAATCTTTGAGTTTTGAAAGATTAACATCTAACTATGAATTTGTTGTTTTCAGCATCGTCAATGGTGTCATCATTTCCAAATGATAAAAAATTCGGTGAACATTCACCAAACGAATCATCAAATAAAAGTGGTGAATTATCATTGCCACATCATCAACGAACAGCTGTTGAGGTAAAGAAAAACACTTTTTGCTTACATATTTCAAATAAATAACTTTTTATGTTCAAGCTTGGCTCAGAACCATCTGTTGGAAAAACTAATGAAATGTTGGCACGTACAATTAAGCCGCCTGTGTCCGAGGGAAAACAAGCACGTGATAAAGTAATCTGATGTTCTTATATATCATAGGTGTTCAACAAATTCATCTCTGTTATTTTAGACAAAATCAACAAATTATGAAAAAAATGATTCAATGTCGCTTGATTCCAATCAATTGTTTCCAAAAGTAAGAATATCAGCTAGAAATATGCCACTTTCGAGTTTCCTTCACAGATTCTTCGCTTTTGTTAGTGAGCTATATTCATGAGATATTTATTTAGGAGGTCAATTTTATGGCAGACTACGACGATAAAAATACTCCGGGTGACGATTACAATCAAAAAATTAATTCTCTCAAAACATTGTGGGATACATCTGATCATTCTAGGTATGTAGAATACTTGAATGATTCTACTATTACTAAACGGTTTTCTTTCTTTCTTATTTTCTAGCGGTGGTTTAGAAGCAACAACCAATAGTATGATATCTAGGCAAAAGCAAGAGAAATCGACTAATGCAAAAACGAATGATAGTTATTCACAACTGGATAATTCGAATAGTCAACGAAGTCAACCAAACTCATCATCAAATGTCAATGTGTCGTCGTCATCATCAGGTACAATTAAGCAACAAGGAAGCAATACTCAAGATGATGGTAG